GAGTCTCCTAAAAGTAGCATCTTATCTGATGGTGAAGTTGTAACTGGAAGATATGTGGAAAGCAACAGAATTTCCCTCACGTAAGCTAGCTCAATCTGTTCTATAATATCAACTAGGTAAGAGTTTTCCAAAGAGAATAAACATACATAGAATATACTACCTTTAGGATAGAGTTCTTAAATCAAAGGCATAGAATAATCAATATTTGGTTTTATTTATTTGCCAACCACTGCTAGGCTTAGTCTTATGACAAGAAAGTGAAGTTTTCTTTGTGCACATTTCCTGTAGAGGTTGACTTTCATGCCTGAAACTTAAAGACTTGACTTAACTAAGGATAAACCAGGTAAGAGAAAAGAATCAGTAACAATGGATTTAAGATTTACAGGGTTTACATGCCAAGTTTTTGGTAGTGGAGAGGTGCAGGGGTGTTTTCTCTGAGAAGAGACTGGGAGCTGCCCCCCCATTTCAGACTTGCCAGTTCCAGCTGGATGCAAAAGGGAAGTGTCATTGGCCAAAGCTGAGATACAAGCAACATTAACACTGATTGTGCCTCCAAGAGAGCAGATTTATGAAAGGATAAAAAATGCTGCACAGCAAATGTGAAAAAGAAGGAGTAAACGTAGGTAAACCATCACACAGACAGCCAGGTCAGCACAGAGAGAAGGTAGAAGATGCTCCAAGCATTCCCCACAGCCCAGGAGAGGCCTATAGTAGACCAGGCTGTCCCCCTGTAACTCAGAGCAGATCTCCACATGCAGCCATGGACGAGCCCACAGGGCAGCAGTGGATGAGACCTGAAGGAGGCACAGCCCATGCTGAGCCCACTCAGGAGCTGGTTCAAGAGAGAAGCCACAATGGGGCAGGAAGGCTGGGGAAGCTGCTGCCCATGGGGACCCATGTTGGAGCAGTTCCTAAAGACAGACCCCATAGTATGGAGCCGTGTTTGAGCTGCAACCTGAGGGAAGCCTGTGCAGGATCAGTTTGGGAAGGACAGCAACTTGCAGGAGGGATCCCATACTGGAGCATGAGCAAAGCATGAGAAGGAAGGAGCAGCAGAGAAGTTCCTAGAAACTGTCTCCAAGCCTTATTCACTGTCCTGCTGTGCCACTCAGGGTTGAGAGAGGAGATAGAAGAACCAAAACTCAAGTTGAGCCTGAGAAGAATGGATGGGGAAAGCATGTGCTTTTAGTTTGATTCCTCACTACTACTCTTTCTACTCTTAATCATTAACAGTAAATTTGTCTTCCCCAGGTCAGGTCCGTTTTGCCTGTGATGGTAATTGCTGAGCCATCTCCCTCCCCTTATATTGGCCCATGAGGTTTCTCATCTTATTTTGTTGCTGAGAAAGGGGAGTGAAGGAGCAGCATGGCTAGCAACTGGCTGCCAGCCAAGGTCAACCCACCACACAAGAGATGCAGAACATTAAACATTAGCTAAGATAATTGCAAAGCTATTCACATCATGTATCACTATACAGGTAAATTAATTAGAATAAATTGTTTATGGTATCAACTTTGATCTCTTCATCCTGTTTCTAAAAAACACATGCAATTTTACAATCATAAGATTGGCATCTTTGCAAAAAAAAAACCAAACAAACAACAAAACCAAATAGCGTCTTTAATCCTAACAGTGCTGCACAATAGCAGGCTGTGGTTTTGGAAGCCTTGCCCCCCCCCCCCCATAAGTAAAAGACTGATGGCTATCTGATCCCAGAACAACCCAAAGCTTTAATCAGAAAGGACTTGGGGGAAGTTTATTACGTTTGTTAAACACGTCAAGGTACAAATTCTTTAGCTTACAATGGGATTTATGCACCTAAATCACTGACATGCATTTGAAGTCCTCCCTCATGATTCATTTATCTGTAAAATCCTTTCACAGGGAAAAGCCATCCCAAGCTTTCGTACTTAGTTGCTCACTCATTTTTACACACTGCAGGAAAAAAAGAAAAGCATTTCTTTTGCTTTGCTTGAGTATGGATTCACAAAGCAGCATTCTCATCACTTTTTCTGCAGTAGGAGCAGACATCTCAAACAGCAAGATAGCAATGCACAAATTAAGGTCAGATGACAAGTAGGTAAAAAGAATCACAACAATCACTCAGTGAATAAATTTCATTATGATTTCCTAGTGCTGATGCCTCAGTCCCTCTGTTCAACAAGGAGCAGGATAGAGAAAGAAAAAAAAAAAAGAAAGCAAGAAAGGGAAACAGCTGAAAATGTCAAAAAATAATTTAAAATTTAAGACATTTATTGAAGGGATTGTAGTACGTAAGTAAGAGAAAGAAAAAAAAAAAGCATAGTAAAGCAAGAAAACCAAGATTGGCTAATTTATTTCTGAGGTCATATTCCTGCAGGGAGGCATGACGAATTCTTACCCATCAATTAGTTGTCTTTTTGCCCTATGAAGAAAGGACAAAAAGGAGGGGGCAGAAAGCAATACAAGTCACACACGCCTGCGGCTGATGGTTACGTAATGCTGATTTACTGACTGCTCTGAGTTTATAACACTTTGCTACAATTCCAAATAGCAGCTTTCTCACAGTTGCATCGTTATAACATTTTTAAACTGTTGTGTTTTTTTGTGGGTTTTTTGTTTGTTTTTGTTTTTCAATGTAACACAGAAGGAAAAGAAAGAATAAGAATTTAGCACTGGTATTTTGATATAAATCAATGAAGATAAACCAAAGGCTAACTTTATATGAAACAAAACGTCTGATCATAAAGTCTTGAAAGTGGTTTATGGTCTAAAGCCTAAAATTAAAGCACCCACCATTGTTTAAGCCTTTCAGTTTACTGTATTTAAAGAAAGCACCAGCAGAAAGAGGGGGCAGTAATACAGCTCCTTTAACTTCACTGAAGTCCTACCGTCACTGACACAAACAGAGATGTAAACTGGTAATTCTGTTTTGATTTAGAAGAGAACTTGCACTAAATAGAGCAAAGAAAGATTAGTTAGAAACAAAGACGGATTGGCAAAAATGGGGGTGGGAGGATGAAGTGCATGGAGTGCTTATTTTTCATGAAGCAAAACAAAGATATACAATGAACACATCAGAACTGATCAGTTTTCAAAAGCTTAACACTACGGTACATCTACAAAAATAATGCAGTATTAGCCACATTAAGTCGTATTCCACCTCAGTATTTTGTCTGTAAAGATGAGTACATAGCCATAAAATCTACAGTAATCTATTGCCTACTACCTATCACAGATATTACATAAGGAAATACCTCCTAACAAAATCACAAGCTGGAATAAACAGGTGCTGATTAAATACATTTGCAGATGTCTAGGTCCTACCATTCTCTGACTCAACACAGTAAATAAATAGCATTACTAAATTCTCAATGCCTGGCAGTCAGATACACTGAAGAGAAGATAAAACAGCATGGTCTTACAGGATAGTAATCAGTAATGTATTTTAAACTCTGAAGTACACTAGAGATTTAAAACTGCAGTTTCATTATGACTTACAATAAACTCAATGGAACTAAAGAGTGTTGTCACCATTAAGGCTTCAGAGAACACTTCCATAACAAAATACAGTGACATAAACCGACCACAAAGTTTACTGCACATGGAAAACCAAATGGGCTAACATTAGGATCAGCCCTTTTAGAAGGCCGCACCAGGAAGCATTTATCCAACGCTGGGCACCAGCACCATGGCTGGAAGTTCCAATCAAACATAAAAAAAATATTAAGAGGCAAGTTATCTCTTTGCTTCATTCTCCTGTGCTTTTTTTCCTACCCCTTTAAGTAAGAGAACTACAATTTCTAAGGCATTTTAAAACAGACCCAGGTTATTTCCGGCCTCAGGGAGAACATAGCATTTGAAGGCTTTTAAGAAATGGCTCTGCCAGCATTCTCATTCTCCTTTTCAAAGAGCAAGGAATGACTCCAGGACTTCTGCTGACTCTAAATTACAGTCATGTGGCATGGGAAGAAGCATGCTGGAAAGCATGGACTCGGAAAGCACTTTGGGACCCACTGCTGCTCTGAAGGCATGTATTGCCCCTCTGAGGTCACAGGCGGCTATGTTTGCCAGCTGTATGACAACCACAATGTATCATCACACAAGGACAGAAGCCCCACGCAGTCCCTAGGACTCGCAATGGAAACACTCTGAACCCACACAAGGGATTTCCTATTATGATTCTCAGCACTATAGCCTAGAAACAATGTGATAAATAAATAGTGACTTGTATTACATAAAAAGTAACACGAGTTTATGGCCTAGAACCCAAAGGCAACATTGATGTCCGGGGAAATGGGTAAATCAGACCCAGACATACAGAGAGTCACAAGACACAGCAGATGTAATTACTGTGTTTTCTCCGTTCCAGGTGCCAAAAAGAGCATCACAGCCAGGATTTAGGCAAAAGTCCGTATGAAAAATCCAAACCACAGCTAGTAACACAAGTTTCAGGCATACCCTCAGCAAAGCCACGAACTACAAGAACCGAAGGATCAAACATAAACTTCTAAGCCAACTGACTGTACCCGCACCATTTCAAAAGCCTTCACGTCCCAAACCGAGCGCGCTGTAGGAGGAACGAAGGAGCATTTACACGGCACTGCGGGCTGACGGCGGTGAGCCCCGCTTCCCGGTGCCTGCACACACGCACCGCCGGATCGCCGCGCAGCCCGCGGCCCATCCCCACGAACCGCTCGCGAAGCCGAGGGCTGTAACGCGCCGCCCGGCTCCCCGCGCCCCGCCGGATCCCCGCGGCAGCCCCCGGCCTTCCGGGGCGAACTACACCGTGAGGAGAACAGGCGGTACACGCAGCCCCTCCGGGCGACCCGAGGAGGAGCCCCGAGGCCGAGGCCCCGCCGGAAGGAGGGGAGGGGGCGGGCGGCGGCGGCGGCTTTCCGCCCAGACGGGCCGTGCCGGCCGCCCCCGAGGGCCTTAGCCGCGCACCGCCGACAAAACGGGGAAAAAAACCCGACGGTTGGAGAGCCGCTGTCCCCCACCTCGCGAGCCCCGGCGCTTACCACTTGGTAGCGGCTGGCGGGCTGATGGTGCTCCATCCCTGCCGCCGCCGAAGCTCCGCCGCTCGCCCTTCCCCCACCCGCTCCGCCGGAGCCGCCGCTGCCTCCGCCTCGGCCCTTCCCCCCGCGGCGGAGCCTCCTCCGCTCCGCCCCCGCCCCGCTGGGGCCGCGCAGCCCCGCCCCATCCCGCCCGCCTCCGTGACGCGCTGTCCCCGCCCCCCAGAGCCCGACGGGCGCGCATGCGAGGTGAATCGATGCCGAACTCCGATGCATCAGTGGCGTCTGTGAGCTGCTGAGGGCGCGGTTTCTCGCTGCAGAGGTGGGGATATTTTTGCAGTCGTGGGGCACAACCCATTTGGGGTGAGGTCTCAAGACAAAGCTGTACACCACTGCAGAGGCTGCAAGGAGCTTTAAGTCATGGAATCATAGAACAGAATCGTTAAGGCTGGAAAAGACCAGTAAGATCATCTAGTCCAACCATCAACCTATCACCACCATGCTCACTAACTATGTCCCTCAGTGCCACATCTACACGTTTCTTGTACACCTCCAGGAATGGTGAGTCCACCACCTCCCTGAGCAGCCCATTCCAACACCTGACCACTTTTTCAGAGAAGGTTTTTCCTATATCCAACCTAAACCTCCTCAGGTGCAACTTGAGGCCATTCCCCCTTGTCCTATCACTGGTTATGTGGGAGGAGAGGCCAACCCCCACATTGCCACAGCCTCCTTTCAGGGAGTTGTAGGGAGAAATAAGGTCACCTCCTGAGCCACCTCTTCTCCATACTGAACAATCCCAGCTCCCTCAGCCGTTCCCCATAAGACCTGTGATCCAGACCTCTCACCAGCTTTGTTGCTCTTTTCTGGACACACGCCAGGGCTTCAATGTCTTTCTTGTAGTGAGAGACCCAAAACTGAACACAGTACTCAAAGTGCAGACTCATCAGTGCTGAGTAGAAGTGGACAATCACCTTCCTGCTCCTGCTGGCAAAACTATTTCTGATACAGGCCAGGACGCCATTGGCCACCTTGGCCACCTAAGCACACTGATGGCTCATGTTCAGCTACACATCAACCAACACTCCCAGGTCCTTTTCTTCTCTGCAGCTTTCCAGCCACTCTACCCCAAGTCTGTAGCATTCCATGGGGTTGCTGTGATCAAAGCACAGGACCCGGCACTTAGTCTTGTTGAGCTTCAGCCCATTCATCCAACCTGTAGGACCTTCCTACCCTCAGGCAGATCAACGTTTCCTGCCAACTTGGTGTCATCTGCAGACTTACTGATGGTGCCCTAAATTCCCTTATCCAAATCATCAGTAAATATATTAAACAGGGTTGGCCCCAATACCATCCCCTAGGGAACACCATATGTGACCAGTCACCGGATAGCTTTACCTCCATTTACCACCATTCTCTGGGCCTAACCCTCTAGCCAGATTTTTACCCAGGAAAGAATACACCTGACCCTGCATGTGTGTGTGCAGGAGGACAGAGAATTTGGGAGAGCTCCTGGGCTGGTGTTTGGGTAGGGTGGGAGAAAAGCTGGGCATGATGATGAAGCAGGGAGGCAGGACACACGGTGGACCCAGCACAAGGCCTCACCTGTAGGCAGCTTCTGGCACACATGGCAGTCAGTAAACTACTTCAGCTGGCCTGGTTTGGAAACATGGGACCTGCAGTGCTCTGTTGCATTTCTTACTGCTTTTCACAGGAGAAGTTTGTTGGGCATGAAAAGCCCTAGCAGTCTGGAAACAAAGTTGGCAGAGAATATAGGTTAGAAATGGATCAGCGTTATTATTGTCCTAGCAGGATTTCCTCCTTTTTCCTCTTTGCCTATACACATAATGAAAGTTTCTATGTTTAATTATTCTCTGCTAAAAGGAACAGTCATTTGTAAAGTAGCAAAGGCCATGTTGATTTTAAAAATAGTGTGCATGGAGTGTGTACAGAGCACTGTACAGTGCTTCCATTATGTAATGTAAGGAAAATCTCATAACTGTATTACCAGATTTCATGGCAAATGGAATTTAGACTGTTCATGTAATAGATTTAACTTCCAGTATTTTCTGTACTTTTAGGAACAAATGTCCTAAAAGTAAGCTTCCAAAGTGCCCATGTCACATCTTTGGCAGATCTGTTTATTTTCAAAATAGTGGTAGCTCTATATTTTTTATTTAACTGACTGGTTCCAGAGGTTTTGACTATTAATCTGTATTGCAAAGTATTTGGCAAGCACTAAAACAACTTTGAGTATTATACTGAAGGTGAGACTTCTACTTCAGAACAATTTGGACTTTGATGAACAAGTCATGTTGACTAAAACACTTGAATATCAGTTTTAATATTTAAGTTTTCAGCTTGAGCTTCATAAATTTTGAGGGTGTACGGTGGCAGCAATTGTTATTACAGTTTTCTGCATCACATAGTAAACTGTTTACTGTAAAAGAGCAGTGATTATGGAATATGCTCATCGTATAAAGAAAATAATAGTGTAAAAATGAAATTTGAAAAACAAACAAACAAAAACATTACGTTTGTTTGGAGAAAGAAGAAACCTATTTGCTTTTAGTCAGTAAGTTTGCAACAGTTTAAACTTTGCCCTACCACTCAACTGAGCCAACAAAGGAGTTCTTAGTAGAAACAATTGTTGCAAACTCAGTTCTGTGAAAAGTTGACTTAAGGATGTGATCCAAATTCAGATAAACCTCCATAAAATTTCTGACCTCTGTGGATTTAGATAGCCACTTTAAGCAGGAAGATGGCTTAAAGAAACCACTGGGATTTAATTTCTTAGAAAGAAACAGCAGGAGGTGTCCTCCATCTTTTCTTCTTTTCTAGGCAACACAGGCAATGCCAGAGCCATTCTTAACAGGACCACTAGGCTACATTTAAGATTTCTTAGCTGAACACAGACTCTCAATTACATTGTCATTCTGCTTATTCAGTGTGTATATACATGCATAAAATCTCGCAGTCCTGGCTCTTGTATATGTCCAAATACCATGCAGATAAACTGAACAAGCTTTAACTGTAATTCCTGCACCACACAGCTCAGAGTGAGAAACATCTCAAATATTTGCCTTCGTTTAGAGTGAATTTGGTAGTCTGCACCAATCTCTCTGTTGCCACAGCTATTTCCTGTTAGTCACAGAGATGGTTTAAAACTAGTTCAGGTATATCCTGACAAGCTTGTCACAGCTGTGCAAATTATACTTTGTCAATATCTGCAGCATGGTCAGAGCTCTACGTGATTCTGAGACTGCTCACACTAATTCCCTTTGCTGGCCCTGAACACGAGTAAAAAAAATATATATATATGTAGAAGTGAGGAAAAGTTATCTGTCAAACAGACATAAGTATGCTTAAAGCAAATTCAGGAAGCCAATGCTTGCAGTAGCATTTGTGCAGCTTCTTCAGCATCTTCATGTTTTTGTACAACAGCTACTGCTACTACTATTACTACTACTACTACTACTAATTTAGGCTGCCCCTTGAGGGTTTTTTGTTTTTGTTTTTGTTTTTTCTTCATAATTTTGTGGATTAAGCTGTGAATCCAGAGGAAATTCTACTGAGTCTATCGGTAGAAGCTGCTGAAGTGTATGATTGTCTCTGAGAACGGGTTCTTAAAAATCCACATAGCATGACACAAACTGGATGTTGCTATGAAAAGCATAAACAGAAGCTGAGTTTCACACAGACAGCAGAGGAGGTTCTAGCAGTGAGCAAGAAGGACCTGCTAAGTTTCACTTCATCTGAGGTATGTGTGCTTCAAGAAATGAATCACAGGAGTAAATATTTGACTATACAAATTTGGATTTTTTAATCTTTAAAACTAGTTTAAAATTTCTGAGTTCATACCTTTCTAAAATAACTTGTAATAAAATGTAATCATATGAATATTTGTGTGTAACAAAAATACATCCCTGAATTAATTTCAATTAAAAAAAAAATGGTATGGTACAGTTTTTTCAGCACTTTTTCAGATACAGACACGATGTTAAAGCTCTAATACATGCTGTTACAGAAATAACAGTGTTTTTAAAAAATCCCCAAATGACTTTGAAGTTTCTATTTAACAAACAGAGCTGAATGGAATGTGCATAAGTCAGAGTCAATAAAAGTGATGACAGAAAAGAAGAAATATAGAATAAAGAATGTAAATATATGACAAATTATGAAGTAATGGTAAATGTGGGAAAATATCTGCTGTTAAAAAACAGTGAACAAAAAATATCAACTCCAAATCTTGAGATATGATGAGAAAAAATGCAAGAAAAGGTAGGAAATACAGATGTATTTTGTGCATTGATGATCAATACAGATGGATACTGTGAAAATAAATCCACTGCTATTATGAAGTCTTGTTTGGAGAAGATACTCTATCCTGGCAATGCTTATATTTTTTGCACTAACAATTTGATATGATTAAGTACAAAACAATTTTTTCAATGTATTCCTTAGGAAATAGAGTATTCAATTATTTGTTAACCTACAATCCAAAAGTTACTTTTCTAAAACTGATTTTCAGTCTCATCAGAATGAAGAGAAGACTGTCTCCATGTTAAAACATGTTGAGCATAATTACACAAGACCAAGTACGCGATAAATCTGAACAGTAAAGGCCTGGATATTATCTGAAAATCATTTTGTTTTACAAGGAGAACTGGAGAGGCTGAGGAATAGATACACAGGTAACTTCTTGCATTTGTAGAGCCAGTGTTGCTTTGAAATATTAACTGCAATGCATGGCCTCTGTCCTACAGGAACAGGAGGAAGCTGAGTATATATTCACACTTGAGTTACTACAAGGTCAGTAAGTTTAATGTGTTGGCATTTCTCCTAGCACTTATAATACAACACAAGAATCTGCTTGAAAAAGCTATAAAATGAATTTTTTATTACCAAAACAATGCTAAAGATTCAAATTAGATGTCCCGTGACATACTGTCCTGCACAAAACAGATAATGGTTTTACTCTAGACAACATTCCCTTTGCTCACCATTATTTATGCTTCATGTATGCACAGGTCTTGAGTGAGCTTTATGCCCGAATTGATTTTCTTCTATATAAAATAAAGCTCTACATAAATTATAAAGCACTTCTATTAGGAACCTCTATTTTATTCTGTTTATAATACAATTGCATTAAAAAACATACAGTTCAGCACTGTAGGTCTATATAATGCCAATTTAGCTTCCTTTGGAAGTAAGTCAAGAATAAAAACAAAAATATAGGATTACCATATAATTAACTACCATATCATAAACCAAATCTAGTCAGCTGCAGCACTAAGAATAAATTTTGCCTAAGGTCTCATGCCTTGACTTTTCTCTTGGTAGTCCATAACATTCTTATTTTGCAAAGCCTTTCAAAAGTAATTTAGAGAATTTCAGATATTTCTCTATTAATTCAGAC